TTCCGGCGCGTGCGTGAGTGGGGCTTCGGTGTTCCGCTGTATTTATATACTAGTTGTGCCCCGAACTTCGTCTACATGACCAATATATATTGATTAGCAGGATAAAAAACAAATTATATATTTTTTCACGGTAAATATTACATGAATCCAAGACGATTGGCTAAATTATTAAGTCGTCAAAAGGGACTATATTTTTTTAAAGATATAACATTTAGAATAGAAATAAGTGGATATTTCACCTATCTGTAGATATAAACAAAGTCATGGACACCACAGAATACACTAAGGGTGGATGATATAAAGCAATATCTATAAATTTTAGTTACTATATACTGGTTCAATAACAAATATGTTAAAAATCTGTTATCCAAAACATAATATTGCTAACAGACTTTTAACATATTCGAGAATAGATATCCGACTGATAAAGACGATATCAAAATAGGTGATGACCTTTTTCCGTCCCTAATGTCCAGAAGAACTTAATATATAGATATCAGATCGGTATCCATATTACCCGTGCCTAGAATACACTGTCATGCACGTGATCCTTTATGTGCTGGCATTCTTGTGAACTATAGAGTAATGTTACTGCCATATACCTTCCTTCAAACTGAAACACAGTTATGCAAACACGGGTACGACAGAGATATACATACAAGTAAAAGACCATCGTAAAAGTTTCCCTGTGATATATCGACTGGACAACATTAAAAAAAGGTTTTGTCTTTCCCAATGTCAAGTACTCCGTGTATTCTAAATTTAAAGACGATTGATTGAACTGTTATACTATAATTACAAAGGCAGACTGTACAAAACTTATCTGCATTGATACCACTATCACATTAGTGTCTTTGTCACTAAACAGCTAAGCTAGCATAATTAGATATGACAGTAAAATTACAGGATATGGAGATAAAGATCTTTAACCAGTGCGTGTCGCTAGTGACAGCCTATGGACCTGAAATATAGTCCTATGCAGTTGCCCATATGCAAAAGTTTCAAATTACCCAGTGAGCTATGAAGAAGGCTATGCTCGGAATTTCTTTGCGTGACAGAATCAGACACCAAGATATTCGCAAAAGAACCAAAGTAACCGACGTAATCCAAAGGATAAGCTAGCTAAAGTGGCAGTAGACTGGTCACGTAGTTCGATGAACCAACAACCGATGCGGAAAAAAGGTTCTTGGATTATGAACCCGTACGGGTAAACGCAGTATAGGATGATCCCTCTTACTAGATGAAGTAACGACTTCAAATGCAGTGCAGAAAGACAGTGGATACAGGTGGCTCAGGACTGTATCCTATGACAGTCTATAGGGGTGGTTTATGTCCTGCAATGAACGGATAATGGCTGAGAAGACGATAATGATGATGATGGAGACATAATAATCCCTTAGAATTATGATAAGGCAAGGCGCGGATGAAAAATACCCTGGAGTCATAGTGTATTTGTCCTAATATTCTTGTCTGTTGATGACGGTAGGTCGCCAGATAATCTGCTATTCTCAGCTATATGAAAAAAAAGTTGCAACAAACGAATATCACTATCATATCCATATTATTAGTAAGGACAGCAGAGATATTTAAGTACATTACTCGATTTTGAAACTTAAGACAAAGATTTAGGGGCTGATTTATTGTAAGGTGAGCAAATGTAGGGGAACAGAAGCCGGATGCTCCATAAGGATTTAATAAAGGTAATAAATTCTTAAGGATACTTATCAATAAAACCGGAAGGCAAAAGATAGATGTTATATAGAATAAATATTATTTACATTTAAATATACTTTTTCAAAAATTTTTATTTAGAATGTTTTTATGTAAATAATATAAGTGGATGGATATAACAGTCGCAGATTCGATGCTCAATCATGGATTTTTGCTTATCTAAAACCATGTTTCTATAAATTGTTTTTTTTTTAATGGAACAAAATGTAATAGCAACCTCGCTTGCGCTAAAGCATAAGCTGACGGGGCACTAGTAGTGAGAGTTGATGGGTGAGGATGAAAGGAGTTCAGTTGGGCCATATAGCACAATCGTAGGTAATTTACAAAAAAATCTAATATTTGCAAAATTAGTATAGTCTCAACATGGAACATTTTCATTAAACTAAGAATCATCAAAATTGGTTTACAATTAGAAAAGATTTACATCTCGTATAATGAAAATAATATCCAATTGTGAACCATCTCTTTTTAAAATAGATGTTTAATATCTATTTTACTATTATATTATACAAAGTAATTAAAAAAAATAATAGAATATAATTATTATCTGAGATACAAGTTAAATGATTGCTCAAACACTGCCACTGCATTTCAATACAACAATACAAGTCAATTACCCATGTAACAACTTTATTACAAAATCATGTTACATCGCTACATGCGTTGAGAAACTGGGAACAAACAGAATCATTAGCCTACAGCTAATTGAATCAAGAGTGATTCGATTACATTCAATTATTCCCGTTGGGCGGCAGAAGGTGGGCGGGCTACGAGTTGATTGGGCGGCGCGGCTGGGCTGGGCGGCAGCCAGATCCGCCCAACAGATTTCCCTTTCGCGCATAATACTGAAAATTCTAAATATAATTCAATGTAACTTATTTTTCTCCTAATTTAATTTCTTGTTTGAAATAAAGAATATAATATAAACAAAACAAAATTAAATCATCTCTCCAAGTTGACTTCCAAAATATATTTTTTCCCATTTTATAAATTTTTTTCTGTAGCTTTGAACTTCTGTAATAAAGAACATATTAAGATTTATATGCCTATATATATAGTTTACCTAGATGTTAATTTTTTTATATCCAAATTGCCTGATCTTTAAAGTGTGATTTCTGTTTATAATCTGTTATAAAAAGAAACCTGGGACATTATTGTATAGCCAATTGAACCCAAAATATATTTATGCCAACCAATGCGACTTTTTTTGCACTACGGAGGAATATTTTTAGCAAAATATATATACATTGTGAATAATAATAATCAGCTGTATAATGTAAGAAAAAGAGAAAATATATAAACAATTTAAGTAGTTGTAAATTAAGATAATTGATGTAAAATTCCAATAATAGGAATTCCATCAGCATGGTGATGTAAATACCATCATCACTTCAACAACATTACATAAAACTGTTATAAAAAACTACCTTGAATATTGTCAAGTTCATCGTTTTCTATTTATCGCTACCATTTGTAGTTCACTTGTATTCTATTTAAACAAAGAATATTTATCTTTTTCGTTATAATGCAATTTAAAAAGAAAAATTTGATTGTATTTTTAACTAGTTGTATCCCACAACTTCGTGAATCAGTATATAAATTACCCTATTTGTTAAGTTAGGATATAAATTATCCATGCACAAAATTTCATTCAAATCCGTTAGGTAGTTTTTGCGTGAAAGAGTAACAAACTACCATCTATCTATCTTTCACTAAAAACTTTTACATTTATAATATTAATGAGACTTACATAATTGTTATTTTAATAAGAATTTGGCCATAAATAATAAGATAATTTTATCATATATAACTTTTATCATATGATATTTCTTGCAAGATAAATACCATTTTTGACATATCATAATTATTCCAGTTATTTTATGTAAATTATTGAGATGAAACCAAATATACAAAATAATAATTTATTCTACTAAATAAAATAATTCATATGTATTGGCAACATTATATTTTTAAAAACTACCTAATTATACGTTGTCTTTGTTTTTTAGTAATTACATCTACCCACATATTTTTCAACTGAAAGCACTTTTAAAAATTTTTAAGCGACTATAATTTGTGGAAGAGTGCAAGTGTTTTCCAAATAATGTACAAAGATCCATCAAGTATCAACAAACGCGTTCACTAACACATCATTGTTAAAATTAAGTCTAACGACAAATATTCGCAATATTTATACTGTTTTTCCAAACGGATCGAACTTGAGAATTATAAAAAGGTAGTACCTAAAGCTTTTATTACGTATTTTATTTATTTATTCAATTATTATATCGATATTCTCATGATATTAACTATTTTTCCAATAAATATTATATTATAATATAATTTGAGAAAATGTTTGGATACTACTTACTTAATCACGCTTGAAAAATGTTCAATTCTTTTACCCTTTTGGTTAAAAAAAATTGTGTACGCGATCAAAATTGCGATTTAGGTATATCTGATAGAAAATATTTCACGAAACTGTATAAACTAATCAATCAATTATTTATTTACAAGAAATGCGTACAAAATTTAAGATATTATGATAATACGATACAAAAATTTTAAAGCGTAGTACTTTCCCACAGGTGTGCAAAATTCAAAGCATTTAGGATTTTAAGTAAACTAGATATATATAAAATCGAGTGTCTATACAATTTTGTATAGAAATTGTATGTCGAGTATGGTATGAGAACACGAAGTACCAAAGTACCTCAGGAGGTGCGGGCTTTATCTTTGTGAATGTCACGTCTACGTAGTACCTATACTACGCTGTTGTATAGTCAGCGTTGAAAAAATCGTGGTAAACACTTGTAGCGCATTGTATAGGGGTCCGCATTAGGAATTGTTCGGTTGTACGTGGATACGCTTCACTGGTATGTACAGGTTGTGCTTAATTGTCATTGTATTTACAAATACCTGTGCTCGCGACTTCGTTCATGCAATGTAGGTATTTCTGAAAATTACTATTTTCAATCAGCTGCAAAAAATAACTGTTTATGTGAATGTAACTGTATATAAGTTATATTATGTGACAACTAAACAAATTTTTTTTAATCAACAAGATGCAGTTCATAAACAATATTGTCAAAATTGAAGTAGATCACTTTTTTGGAACAAAATCTTGTATGTAAATGTATGGCGTAATATCTCTTTATATTGTTTAGTTATTGAAATTATCGATAGAACAACCCAGCAACCACATTATAACAGTACTAAAATATCTTATTGATTATTCTTGTAATTTATATTTTTTAGAGGTAATAGAACTATTTAAAAGTTTTTTTTTTTTGTGTGACGATTTATAATTTTCTTTTGTAGAACAACCTCTATGGGGGTTCGTGCGGCCCGTGCCACCGCACGAGCCAGGGTGCGCACCCTGCGACAACCCGTCAGTCCTGTGTCGACCGCTCTGCCGTGCGGACAACCGCGCACCCCAATCATATACAAACAATTACGATATCGCAAACTTTTAATTTTAATTTTCGAACACAGTAACAATCATTAAAAATATAATTCTAAAATTTTCATTCCAAATTTAAAATATATACACTTTTTAAAAATTTTTGGTGCAGCAGGGGTGTCGCCGGCTGAGTCAGCAGTGGACCAAGCATCAGGTATGAGTCACTTAAGTTCTTTCGCCATAGTAACACCCCACGAACGCACCTGCGTTGAGATCGCGAAAGCACGCTGACCCCGCTTTGATTTCGATACTGTTTCGCAGATTAGAAGGGGTTGTTCGTTTATTGTACTTGTACCTAATTTATTTTTCGTAAACTTGTAATGATTCGTTCAAAATCCTTCTTATTACCGGTAGCTATAAAATAATTGAAAATTGAAAGAATAGCAAACAGCGGGTAAAATAAAAAATAATATTTAGGAAATTGCTGTTATGTATAATTATATTTTAATATTAATGCGTGCGGCTTCGCACGGATGAAATATGTGCGTATAAATTTTTTGCAAAAGATATTTAATTGCCAATGAAATTTATTAGAGTTTTAATCAAAACTGGGTTCGATTCTCGGGTAAATCTAATGGAATAAGTTTTAAGAATATACTCGGGATTGATTGTGCTTCATAATTTATAATGTTATATTTTATTTTATTAATTTCAATTATATATCCACGCCAATTGTCAAGTTATTTGATGAATTCTTTATTAATTAAAAATAAATATCAAAAGTCGTTGCATGGTTAACAAAAAGTATGTTGAGAGACAAACAGTACTATTTAGTGATTATTACATATATAATAATCTAAAAATTAAACATAGGTTTTTTAAAGGTATCTCTTAATTTTTATTTTATTGTATTTACGTTCTATTAGGTAGATAGGTATGTGTTAATTGGTAATGGCTAACAATTTCTTATAGATTTTTATTATGCAACTTAGAATGGCAAACAAGCTGACGGCCCACCTGATGGAAAGTCGCCTATAGACATGAGCAGTGCCATGAACATAATAGAGTATACTGTTTCGCCCAAGATACCCCCCATGCGGTGCCATTCCTGAGGACTCAGGTGTTATTCGTCTGTATTCTGTAAATTCACTGCCATATCCCATCCTTTAAACCGAAACATAGCCATGCAAATACAACTGCTTCACGGTAGAAACACCAATGGGACAGAAGTGCCCAAGCAAACGACTTTTGTACAAAGTTTCCCTCTGGTAGACTTAATTAATTTAAATACTTAATTTATTTAAATACTAAATAAATATATTTATTTAAACAAATACCACAATATACGTAAGTTCCGGATCTTATTAGAGTTTTAATCAAAACTGGGTTCGATTCTCGGGTAAATCTAATGGAATAAGTTTTAAGAATATACTCGGGATTGATTGTGCTTCATAATTTATAATGTTATATTTTATTTTATTTATTTAAAACAAGTCAGGTGGGAAGAATATTATTTCATGCCATTAATTCCATTAGGTACATTAAATACATTAACTATATTATTATAATTAATAGGTTTTCAAGCAATTTCAATTATATATCCACGCCAATTGTCAAGTTATTTGATGAATTATTTATTAATTAAAAATAAACAAAATATTAATCAATAGCATAAAACATTAATAAAATTTATCGCGTATTGATTCTATACTATTTTGTCATTAAATCGATTATTTTTTCTGTAGAACAAACCTTAATAAAATTTTCAGTTTGTAAAAATATACTTATTAACATTAATATATAATAAAATAAATGTAAAATTGATTTCTATGTCTAATTTTTATGCAACTTAAAAGGGTAAACAAGATGACGGCTCACTTGATGGAAAGTGCTAACCATCGCCTATACATGAACAATATCATGGACATAATAGAGTATACTCTTTGTCCTGAGGACTATGGTATTATGCCTCCATATTCTATAATTTCATTGCCATATCCCATTCTTCAAACCGAAATTACAGTTGTGCAAATACAACTGCTTCACGGCAGAATCACGAATGGAACAGAAGTACCCAAGCATACGAGTTTTGTACAAAGTCTCCCTTTATTTATTTGTTACCTCTTTCTTTTTTCCTAACGGCTCAACCAATTGTCCAAATTTTACATACGGATACAAGCTATTTTTATACCAGTTACACGAATGAAGTCGCGAGCAAAATGAGTTTATAAATATAATGGATATTAAACAGTAATATATTGGAAGTAGAGCTTCGCAGCGACTAAGTTCCCCTTGTTTGGTCTATGTTACTTGGTTCAAGTTTGCGGAAGCCGGACGGACCGTGAAATATGATAACTTATGGTAGCAGTTCAAGTTATCTTACCAATATAATAAAATTGTAACTAAACCACGTCTGCTACGATATCACGCAATAATTACCGCACCAAATTGCATGCGGATTTCAGTTGTATTCCTGAAGGTTAACTTTAAAAATCTAATGTATGTATGTTTTAAGTAGATACGCCATCTAAAAGTGATTTATTTAATTGTTTTTCTTGTTCCTAAAATCCACGCATACAAAATAGCGGGATAAAAGCTAGTGTAACATAAAAAAAATAGGAGAATTAATAAAGATTCGCTTAGAGAAGAAATATTTTTGTTTTAAAAAAATTAAGAGATTTTACGTTTGGAGTATAGATTTTTAGTTCTTTATGGATTAATTTTTGGAAATGGTATAGCAACCCCGGTGGTTTATGTTTACGGAGTATCAGTGAAAGATAATAAATAAGTGAGTATGAAGTCAGGACTATTCCTATCGTGATGGACTCACCAGGAATTAACCATGTTGTTTTCTAAGAGGACTAATAGATAACTAAAAATCAGTTCGCTAGTTCCGTTACTAACAATTCCTTCCCCTTATGAATACTGGTTTCTCTGAGTTGTCTTAGTCGATTTACATGATTCTTTTTTCCTTATTTTCATTATCATCATATCGGCCCTTAACTGTCCATTGCTGAACATAAGCCTCCCCCTTAGGGGCTTATGCCAGTAGTTACCACGCTTGCCAGGCGGTTTGGTAACCGCAGTCAGGCTTTAGAGATGTTTTAAGAAGGGCGCTGCTGCCCATCCCACGCTCATCGTCTCTTAGTCGTCTTTTACGACACCCACGGGAAATGAAGGAGTGGTTCTATGCCGGGACCACAGGGACATTTGTTTTTTTTTTAATAATTATTAATTACTTACTATTAATTATTAAATGTTCTCTATATTTTATATAAAAAATTATAAAAAGAGAATTATGTAAAGTTCAATAAGGTCGGTCATTTTTGTTTGACAGAAAAAAACACAGATTTAGGTCTATCATTTATATGATTTTAACTTATATACCCTAGATTATATATTATTAGTACCCTAATGTCTCTAATGTAGGCGTTAGGGTACTATCAGAAAGGTAAACGTGGCCTCCACGTCTATTTACCATCATAATGGTGTTATATTAAATTTAATATAACATAACTGAATTAAAATTTAATAAACCTAAAATACACAATTATATAATACATTGTCTATTCCGTTTCAGCAAGGAATAACAGTGAAAAAGGCATTCTGAATTATTAATCACCTAATCAACCGAACCCCACAATTTCGTTATAGGCACTCAATTCACACCTTCAATCGATTTAATTATACATTTGTAACACGTCTTAAAGGTATATTATGTTATACCGTCAAATATATATTACTAGCTTCTACCCGCAACTTTGTCCGCGTAACTAGAATATGTTTACTGGCCAGGATAAAAAGTAGCCTATATCCTCTTTGTTCCCTTGTAGTACATGTACCAAATTTTATAGTAATTAATTAAGCCGTCAAGGCGCTATAACGCAACAAACAAATAAATTTACTTCGCATTTGTATATTTCATTATTATTCTTAATCTATACAAAATTATTTAAAACTACAAAACAATATTTAAAATATTAATGTAGAATATGGATCGATAATTACATAACTTTTTGTTTCACAAAAAAACAACGACTTCAAGTGTGGCCAAACCAGTTATTTTGAGTTAAAAACTAAATTACTGAAGTGATTTTGATAAAATTTCTATGCGACCAATCCGAAAGTATATCCTTATATAAAAAAAAATTCTAAATGGGTTTACGAAAAACGGAGTGATGAGGTAACAAACATAAAAAAATACGACCGAATTGAGAATTTCGTTTTTAAAATCAGTTGATAACTTGGATTGGAAATTATTTTATTTTAACTTAATTTTAAATATTTCTGAATACAATTTTTTTTTATTTTATAAATACATTCCGAATTTGGAATATAAAATGCAATACATTGGGCTAGTGCAGTATAATATTGCAATAACATTTTACTTAATCTGGGTTCATTTATCTATTCTGACTTTTAGAAAACATCAGTTGTAATCACGATATGTTTATTATTAAAAAAATAAAATTGGTAAGAATTAAGTATATAATAATAAATGAATATGATCTCCATTGGTATAGATAGAGGCATTTCTCGACTGTTTTAGTCGATTTATATATAAAACTAGCTGATTGCTTCGGTTTCGCAGGAATGTATTTATGATTTTTCAAATATTTTATTTCATACAAACTTTGTCCTGATAATTATAAACACAACAAAAATGATTAAACTAAATAGGTCCTGTCGTTCTAAATTCTAGCGTTTAACATACATACACACATTCAGCAATTGATTTTTATTTATGTAGATACCAACTTGACAGGTCTCATAACTACCATTCGAATTAATTTAGTTAAATAAAATTATAGAAATGTAACAGATAGCGTTCAAATAGTCTATCTATAGAGCCACGCCTCCCTCACACCTCCGCCCTACTAAATTACCAAAATTATTCAATCCGCCCAGCCCAGTTACCGCCGACGGGATTTGGGCGGAATTTATAATCTACGTTACATCTATTTGCGATTACATATTCTACAAATAACACCTCTGTCCTACTTATATAGGATACGTGAGGGGAGTGGATAGATTTTCCAATTTAATAATGTAAGTATGAATTTTAGGTTATAATTTAACTTGGCTGTTTATAAAATTACAATAATTATCTGGTCGTTAATTTAGTACAATAAAGTTTTCATATTGTGATGAAATTTAAAAATCTCAATATAATTACTAGTGTATTGCTAACTAGCAACCTGTCCCGACATTGTATGAATAGACAGATAAAAAGGTAAATCAATATTATGTACTATATATGAGGGGTGAACAATGGGTCCATCGGGACTATTAGTCCAGTCGTGGACAAGCAATAAATATTATATTTATTTAATCTAGCAGAAGATGTTCAAGTGCAATGCTAACTAACATAAATAAGTAGTTACTAAGAATAATTTTAAAAACATTTAATTAAATTAAAAATACTACAATACTACATAATTGTGTACTTAAGTATGTTGTTTCATTTAAGATTTCAAGAAGTATGTATTTGGTAGATCGCACAGAGTTTTGTCAGTAAACAGTAGATCTTGAGTCTAGTAATATCGGCCACTTATGCTAAATACGTTACTTAACAACATAACCTTCAAGAAAAGAGCATATTCCTTTTTAAAAGGCCAGCAGCACACCTGCAATGCCGCTGGTGTTGTGGGTTATCATGGGCGGCGGTAGTCACTTACCATCAGGTGAGCCGCATGCTCGTTTGCCCCCTGTGTTGTAAAAAAAAAAACTTAGATCAATAGAAGTAACAAAAATATTAAGCATAAGGCTTTTCACTCATACCGTGAGATTTTTCTTACATTATACCCATTGTAACTTCAAAATAAAAAGGTCCGATTCGTATAAAAGGACAAATTTTCATTTTTTTTTATATCACTAAGGTGGCAAACAAACATAGGGCCCACCTGAGGGTAAGTGGTTGCTGTAGCCTGTAGCCGCCTGCAATACCACGGGCATTACGCACGCGTAATGTACGTAATTAACCTTGATTACTAAAACTATTTCGTTGGACAAGGATACGAGATACGAATGTCACCATCTTTCGATTCTACTTGTATTTTGATCGTCTAATTTGAATAAAAATTGTAATTTAACTATAATAGCTAGATATATACGAGTAGTCCCGCAGAATTTTATTTCTGGGTAATGCTGAGTACTATAAACGTGTAGTACATTATTTTATCACCACCATCAAATGTTTTCGCAGCGCATGCCAAATAATGTCTTTTATAAGCAAATTTTAATATCTTGGGTTATGTTATTGTAATTTTTGTAGGGATCTTTAATTTTTTAAATGATATATAGCGTATTTTAGTTGCTGATAATGTAATAGAATTGGTTAAGTAGCTTTTAAATTTATCCATTACAAACAAATCTTTTATCTTTATAATATTAGTGTATAGTGTATATAGTTAAGTTTACATGAACGTTTACTTGGGTTATGTTAAAAATTTCAAAAAATCCACATTTGGTGTGGACTTTTTGAATTTTTCAAAGTGTATACAAAATTTCTTACAGATTTTCATATTTTTATTATCAATAAGAATTAATATTACAAATGTGAAAGAATTTAAGTAGTTTTAAGTATTTTACGCTACGGAAACCTATGCATTTGTAGACGAGATAAATAATTGATAAATTAACACAAAGAATCTTTGTTTTATTTTATGGGGTTAAATAATATTAATGAATTCAAGATAATTTATACTTTTTAGATATCTATTATATTATATTATCAGCTTCTTTGCCATTCTAAGTTGTATAAAAAAAAATTAACACCACACCGTTCAAACCATCAGCTGAACCACTGATCGATAAATCTGAGACGGTAGATTTCGAATTCCAGTAACAAAAAAGGATGTTTTTGAGACTGAATGTCTTGATTAGGTAATAATAGATTGACAGATAGAATAAAATGCGATAAAATAATACAAAACTGCTAGTTATCATCATTAAAGATCTCACATTTAGGTTTTTTTCATTAAAAAATTGTGGCTTTATTCCAATCTGAAGTCATTATGATATCAAAAAGAATTATAAAGATATAATAGGTGTATTTGAAAAGAAAGTAATTATAATACACTAAGTTCCTCTACTGCTAACTGTTAAGTAGATATCGAACACTTTAATTTAATTTATTTATACAAATTTACAATCCCAATAAACATAACACAAAATAGAGTTCGTATTTAGGGGAGGTAGGGAGCGTGGGAGCCGCGATCCCGGCGTCACGTCGTGGCGTCGGTTGTCGTCGGTAATTAGGTAGCAAGGGCAAAAGTCCTCGGCTTACCCTCGCCGATTGTCCGGTACCTACCAATACGGGAAAGATTTTACTGTCAACATTTTAAGCTTGTTGAAATTGGTTTATTGCCAAGTTGTTGCTTATGCGTAATTAAATTATAGGTTTTTTGCGAATAAATAATGGTAATATATATTGTATATTTGTTGTAAGACAATCGAATAATTTTGATTGTTAATTACTTAATAGTACAAGTATATGAGATATTAAAAAAAGAAGAGCAGAAAAGGAGTTGTAAATGTATTCATAATCATTGCATCAAATAAAAAATATATAGTTCTTGTAACTACCATTTTTATGTCAATAAGTGCTAAATAAGTATCCAGACTCATTTAATAGTATGTAGTTACCCTTGTTGCTAATATACGCTATTATTTAATACCAGGGTACATGTTAAAACCCTAAAGAAAGTTTTTCACCTGTCACAGGAAAGTCTTATTTAACTTACTAACATGAAATTGACATACCTAAATTGTACCAAACACTGCAAAAGCAAGTCAAACAAAAATGAGCAATTTTCCGTGCGAACTGCAACCGTTAATACAATACAATCAGAGAAATGGTCCACTGTAGTACTCTTGAATCAACGTGCTGGGCCGTCTTTATCCTTTTGTGTCGTTTCTTTTCAAGTAGTGCACTATATTTTATTACGGAACACTTTTTTTACGTTATATTTTTATTTGTTATAGATCAATCGAGAAGAAAACATTGATCAGTAAAAAAGCGTGACTATGAATCCTGTAGCGAAATACTGAATATGGAAGCACCATTACCACACTTTCACCGACTAACATCTTCGCGATTTTACCAACATTATATTTCACCACCTGTCCGTGTCTCCAGCGATTACATCCACGACCTTCTTCCACAACAACATCCTACACTACTACAACAATATTTGGCCTATTACAATGAACCACTCGTGCCCCTTGATTTATCTCTCAAAACTACTACGCCAATCACTCCGCCCTGTACCCCTCCACCTTCTCAGAAAAGAAAAACATGCGATGATAAAACTTCCAAATCACCTAAAATTTTTCGCCATTTTGAGGACAGCAGTGAACCAAAAACTGATACTGATGAAAAATTGGAACAAAAGAAAACAGAGGATGAAAATTCAAACGACAGTGATAGTCCAGAAGCTAAAAAATTAAAATTTACCAAAAAATTTTTTGAAGAACTTAAAACTTGCCTCCCGCCTGAAACAGAAATACCAACAAAGAGCGAAAGAAGTTCACCTGACATTGTTGAAATAAAAGATGTTGAAGAACGTCCTAAAAAATCTCCGAAACCAGCGACTCAACCTCTAAAGAAAAGTAAAGCGGTAAGGAGATTAATGTTTGACGAAGACAAGACATCTCCCGTCTCCGGAACAATCATACGTGATTTAGAAGAGGACGAGACGCTTGTTGTGAGAAAGGTAACAATAAAATTATTTTCCTCAAATTCCTAATAAAATAATGCTTTGTAATAAACAAAACTATCATCAGATATGTCCAATATTAATACGAAAGTTGCACAGGAACTATTAATTAGACGTTTATACCATACCATTACAGTAGTCGCAAGGCAGCTATTCTTATCGCTTTGGCAATTAAACGAGTATGAAATCGCGTATTATGTTGCGTTTTTGCGCTAATAATAGCTTTAAAGGCAAGCCGCAACGCTTAGCCTAGGGGTGTGTCCACAGGACATTAAGGACAAAATAAATAGCCATTTCAATGCTTCCAGCTCAATACTACCTATTTCTTTGGATTAAGATAATGAACAGTAACGTTCAATTTAAACGTAATAAAAAAAAGTCAATAGTATACTATTACTTAATAGTCGTAATATTCACGAATGTAATAAACAGTTTTCGTGTGATTAACAAAGATTGTGTTGCTTCTAAGGGTGACATAGATCCAGCTTTTAATGTGGTTGAAGTGACCGAAGAAGCCAAAGCATTGATAGCGAGTATTGAGAATCGACTCGGAAGATACATTTGCAGACTATGTCGAAGACTATACAGTGATGCATTTGCTTTGGCGCAGCATAGATGTTCAAGGATAGTTCATATTGAATACAGATGTCCAGAATGCGATAAGGTAATTGACGTAGCCAATAAATGAAATAATACCCCTTTATTTTCTCACGTTTTTTCCCAATTTATTTATCATCAATTTATGTCTCTTTATCGACATCATAACTATGTTCCCTTTTTTACTGTATTAGATAACGTGACATCTAAAACATATCGCTCAAATAATGCTGTGTGGGAACTGAACGAGGGGTAGGGGCCATTGTAAACACTTGGCACATTTCCATGGGAAGCGTGTACCACAAGTGGCCGCGAAATGTTTATACACATTAATTGATACGTTACGTGATGCGTGACGGTAAAAATTATCTGTAGTTGTCTATTGTGATGGGGAGGTATAAATAATTAATCTGTAATATTAATGAAATCGAAAATGAGTTTATCACGCAAGTATAGATAGGTACTACAATTATTTGCATATTGTTATCATTTTTAATATTTCTTGATTTCTCTTATTACTTAAGGATATTCTTGTAAAATGTGCGCTGCAATTTATCATTACAAATACTATAAAGTTGCCGCTCTTTAGTAAGCTATGAAAAGTATAAACGTTATTAATAGAATAAAAATTTAAATTCTCCCAGTTAAGGTTTAAAATTGGGAATTAATAACAACTTCTGTCAAGTAATCAAGTATCTCGTTAATAGCAAATGATTTTACATTTCGAAATATAAATATTCAATAGTTATATTATGTAAAAGAGATTTCAGAAGATATAATATATCTTTTAAAATCTCTCAATGAGTAACACTTAAATAGAAAAGAGATATGGAAACAAAAAGATTATGACCACATTTATTTTCAACTAGGTATTCAACTGTCCAGCGAATTTAGCATCCCACCGTCGCTGGCATAAGCCTCGAGTACCTGGTGCCACCAAACGTAGGGAAACCCCATCATCAGATGCTGGCCGCTTCCCATGCCAGCAATGTGGAAAGTTGTTCAAAAGACAAGCATATCTAAGAAAACATCTTTTAGCTCATGAACAACCCGATAATGAAACAGAAAAAGAACCGTCTGCCTTCAGGCAAGTCCAGACAGAATATCCTGCTTATCAATCGGTAAGTGTAATACTTTAAATTTTCCTCTTAATATATAATCTGTATTTTCTTGGAAGAATTTTCAGTTATACCTCATCGATTTTCATCGCTGCACAAAACTTGATGTTTCTCTTATTATTACAGAATGTATTATATTATCACTGATTTTATCAAATTGGATCTTAATTTATTATTACACAATCTATAAATGTTATCAATCTATATATGTTATCGCATTATCATACCAAATTTTTAATGTTCACAATTCTAGCTGTTTAGTCAAACCGTTGCGTGTGTAGACAATACTGAGAACTGTTCAGAGACAAGAAACGTCAGTTTGTACTACCACATTAATGTATTCAGTCTATTAAATCTGTTATGTTTTTAGATAATAACATGCTAAGAACAAGAAAATTTATGATACACAATGTACATATTTTTCGAACAGGAAACAAACCGTGACAACAATTTCAATACGTTCTGGAACAAGATTCCGCCACCTCAACAGGAGATGAATTGGGAGGATGTACGTACTCGCTGCGTGTCTTCCTGCTCCTCAGAAGACTCGAGGAGCCTGGATGTGACGGGCTCGGAGGACGAAGGTGGGGGCGTGGGAGATGGGTGACGGCGCGTGCTGCGGCCCGTGCCGCGATTCCCACCTTATGCACCTCTCCCTAATGCTCTTTATGCCTACACCACTTCGTATGCTCATGATAGTCACTTGTATTTTTCTTAGAAAAATATATAAGTACGATGAGATTTTCGTTCAGTTAAATTTGTCACGTCTATTAATAACATATCATGTCTAGATATAGGTACATGTTATAATGTATAAAAATCACGTGTCACTGTATCCGTGCACGTTAGTCTTCGAAACTACTCCAGTTGGTTCCAGTTTGAAAGTGGAATGACATCGGGTCAACGGTAAATTTATTAAATTCAATTATGTAAAACATTTTGCACAAACAACAGTGTATTGCGTAAAACATTTTAGCCCAAAAATGCATATATATGCATATATCTTCAATATGTATTGGATAACTATTTAAAAAAAAATTGATACAACCACATCATTTTTAACTTAGGTCTAAATAGTATAGGGCACAAGTCAAACATAACCCAATGCCAGAGTACGAGTATATTGCTACATTACATATTATACGAAATAATCATCGGTTTTCTAATATCTTAGGCAGGAATTACATTTTTATCTATAATATATAGAATTGATTTTATCATAAACTCATTGTTAACTTTGCATCAGTTTAGAAACTCTTTAATTATAAGACTATGTGTATATATGTGTATATATTAGTGACTAATAGATATACGTAAATACGATATCAGTGGTATATAATTACTTATTTAATGTAAATAAATGTGATCTCCTACAGCAACATTCCAAATTTCACGTATAAGCTTGTTAAACATGGCACGTGAGTATTACTTTAAATTTAACATAGATCTAGTTTTAGTATTGTTTAGAAAACGAATTATTTATAAATTTTGTAGGTTTATTACGAGTACCTATGAATTAGCTCAAACGCTTATAACTTTAAATTAGATACTTATTTACTAAGTTTGTTTGCAACGTTGTTTATGTTCAGTTATATATTCTAAGTACATAATTTTTCATTTAAATGAATCTGTTTACAGATAATAGTCGTAACAAATGTTATCACATCATTAAAGAAGACGCTTTTTTCCCCATTCAATTTACATAAAATAATATTTAGCTATGATTTTTAATGTTTATGATACTTGTATATATATGATGGTACAAAGATAGAAATAATAAAAATAGTATAGAGACATCATGATATACTCGTAAAGTTAAATTATAGAAAAACGTGCAGAATCACAACATCTAAGTATACAGATATCGTTTTAAAAATGAACATAAGTTTTAAAAATAATATCTAAGTATTTATAGAAATTTTTAATTGATTTATTCTCATTCAAGTTAAAAAGCATTAATTGTAACACTAATATAAATTTTATTTAAATGAACGTGTCCTTACGTTATAGCACTACAAACTTTTAAATTCTGTCTTAATTCACACCACATCGTATAATATAATTACTGTCAGAAATTACAGCAATCATCGTCACATTGTTTCGATCGACGTCTTGAATGGGCCATCGCAATCGATGCACCGGCATATTTTTAGATGCAAGCCAGTCCCTCATAAAGTTTTCAGTGATAACTGTTCATCGGAATTGAGTCCGTTCTGTATGTAAGTAGGCCGACACACCTACACTGCTATGCCTATTTGAAAGCCTAAGTTACAAGTTCCAGCAATAGACTGACATATAAAGGTCATTTATAACACGTAAACGTATTAACTGTATTTATTTATTTAATTATTACTCACTTAACATGAACTTTTAATTTTACATATATAAAAATTATTGACATTACATATAGATACGTATTTATATTTAATTTAATAATAATATATTATCGTTTATCTAGTTATAGTTCTAGAGATAAATTTATTTAATTTTAAAATTAAAAATCTAGTCATTGAATTTAGTTTCTAGTCAACAATACAGTTTGGACACAAAATTAGTTAATATTCTATATATAATGATCATATTTCATAATACATATTTTGATCTCTTTTAATAACTAGTCATTGTAAATTTAATTTCTATATTATTTGAAGTAAATTTTATTATAATTTTAATTAAAAAAAATTTGCACTTTTTGAATAATAATTAATAAAATAATAAAAAAATAAAATTCAGTATTTTTAACAGTGCAAATATCGTATAATCTTACGTATTAATATATATTATATCTTAAGTTTTAATCATTACTGAAAACAATTACCCATTGTGGACTTTTTTTTATCTAGTCAATGAGTAGGTATAGTTATTTTTGTGTATATTTTAGTTTAAATATAATGAAATAATCTAAATCAAGTACTAGTCATATTTTAATATATTTTTATAGTCAAAATCTGGTCACATTTTTATTTATGTCTAAGTCCAATCATAGTCATATTTTAATGTATTTTATAGTCGAAATCTAGTCATATTTTATTTTTGTCTAAGTCAAGTACTAGTCATATTTTAATATATTTTTATAGTCAAAATCTGGTTACATTTTTATTTATGTCTAAGTCCAATCATAGTCATATTTTAATGTATTTTATAGTCGAAATCTAGTCATATTTTATTTTTGTCTAAGTCAAGTACTAGTCATATTTGCATATATTTTTATAGTCGAAATCTAGTCATATTTTTTTTTTTCTAAGTCAAGTACTGGTCATATATTGATATTTTTTAATAGTGGAATTCTAGAATTATTACAAAAATAATTTGACATTTCTTTTTTTAATTATTTATTATAAAAGACTATATATTTTTTTTTATTTAGTTTATGTATTTCCATTATTTTTATTTTTTACGTTTATGTATTTATTACGATTTATTTATCTTTAAGTCAGACGCTTTATGAGGTAACCAGTAGAAACAGATAACTTTATATTTGAAATATTTAACAACAGAGACAAATATATATTTATAGCTACAGTTTCTAGTCGTGTTATATTGATCTCTTTATTAATAATATACTAAGTAGGAGAAATACGTAATTTACATTTTTTTTTCTATTTAAAAACTGAACTCTTGTCGGTGGAACTCTTACCACTCACTATGATTTTCAACGAGTCTCTTCACCTCTTGATACGCCACAACACCAACTTTTTCCTTGATCTGCCTGATGTAACTATGTCCTGGTCTCCTTCTTCCTCTTCTTTCTTCTTTCTTACCTTATATTATAATCCTCATAAGTTTGGGCACTTACCAACAGATGAACCGCATGGTCGTTTACCACACTGTGTTATAAAAAAAAGTGCGTCCTGTCGTATTATGTTAAGTGTCGTAACATTTTTTCCCTTCTGACCTCAATAGTTCTTATAATTAGTCTCTTTTCCTTAATCCTAACATATTTTACGTCATACACAAATATTTAATAATTGTAATAAATTAAGAATCACTAGATATTATTTATTACAATTATAATTTTATTATCTATCCACATACATTATGGCATACATCCTGATTTTTTTTAATTTTATGAATTTTTATGCTGTAACAACTGCGATGGATTATAGTTTATTGATTTGCTATCTATAGGTATTTAAAAACCGATGTTGATTAGGAGATTCCTATGGCCAACAGTAAACTGCAGATCATTGATAATGATGACAATGATTTAATATTTAGAATAATATAATTTTCAAACTGACTAACAACGTTGCACACAATCAAACATTTCTTATATTGTTTAAGAAAATTACTATTAAATAAACAATATTTATAAGTATATATTTTTTGGAGTTCTACTTGGCTTTTGTAATATTTTATTCCTCAAAACTATAAGTGTAGGATTAATCTTACATAAACAATTACATTATTAACAGAAGCTTGGCAGCTCAGGTATTATTTATTAATTTGATTATTGATTTCCTTCAATTATAATTATTATTAATGGCAGGAAGTATTTTAGTATTGTGTAAATTATTGTTCTTAATATTATCACAGTCATTTCATGATAGAGAAAATGAGAATAATACGCCAGCGTATGTTGGTGACATAACAAAATAAATATTTTAATCACTGAAACAACATTAGCTTACATAAAAATATTTAAAAAAATATTAACTGTATCATAAATAGCTTATAGTAAAATTAGTATGCACTCTCACTCTTTTTCTAACTATTATTGCCAATAAAAATAAACTAACTCATGTTAAAGGTTACCTAACAAAGTTTCTATTACAGTTTTCATCGATAGGTACATACATACCAAAATAATTATAGCAATTAGAATATTTGTAAATAAGAATAGAATAGATTAAGTGTTTAAATTGAATATTATATGATGTAATTATGAGTATAAAATAAATCTCTATCGAGTGAAATCTAGTCAGTGTGTTCTTTGCAACGCGTTCCAAAGATTTTGTATATTAAAAGACGCATAGTTATTTTATTATAGGTATAATAATAATATTTTTTTTCGAAAATTTTGCATTTCTTCCTTTATAGTTTTTCTACAATTATACAATTAGTTGAGACTATTTAAAAATAGAGATCTATGTACCACCACGTAAATTTGATGGAAATTTTTAATATACTGTAAATACAGAGTGAACCTTCTTATTATGCGAAACTATATTAGTATTCATGGATCATGTCATTTCTATGTTCGCTTAGGATGGTATGATCACATATGATGCTATAATAAAAAAAAAAACTGAATATTTTCTAAAGAAAATATTTTTTGTCGTAAAACGATAAAAAAACTGAACCCTACATATTAACACGTCTCGTCCAGTTGTTAAACTAGTATGGGAAGCTCTAAATTTCACTATGTAAAGGCATAAAACTGATATTAAAAGAGAATACAATGTTTGTTAATATAAAACTAGAATATTCTGATGGTTTACTTATGTATATAAGGAAGTTTTTTTTTTTTTTGTTAACGGAATAAATTATCAAATAACTTTTATTTTTAATGTAATTTAAGTGTGTTTTAAATAATTTATATTATGATTATAGAAAAAAAATATTGCAATAGAAATTAAATTATTTATTTAATTGAATTAATAGTATTTATCTGAATTACTCAAAAACACAATTGTATATTTTTTATTAATATTATATTTTATTACTTTATTTTAATTTATTGATATAAGTAGGTATGCAAAGTAATAATATAAATGCACATTTTATTAGATTGTAATGTGAGGAATAGACAAAGTATAACTAATTATAATAATGTTTAAATTATAGATATAGATTTAGTGTTTTGAAGTAGTTGATAGAAAATTGTAATTAATTAGTAACATAAGTTATTTATCAGCATAAATTATTACTTAATAAATGTCAATATTAATCAGATTTTTCATTTCTTACACAAATTAAATCATACTCTCTCTTTTATTTAAGAGTTGCCTCTTGTCGGTGCAACTAATACATGCATTTTCTTCCAGCCTGTTTTATCCCAGGCCATATCCTTGACCTCCCTTATGATATGACACCTAGTCTTTCTTTTATCTGTTCCTTTAATCACTACTACCTTACTTTAAATAATTCAAGCTCAACTGAGATAATGTTTAACTGTAGTCTGATTAATAACTTAAACCTCTTAGTTTTTCACGATTGGATCTTATAATAATGATTGTCGCTTGCTTAATGCTTTAATCTTTTTCTTATTAATTTTCATGTATGAACTCCTTTACAGAAATTGCTAAAGTCTTGTTCGGTGTTGGTTTCATTTCAACTGAAATTTAGCGAAAGTATTCGTATAGTGGAAAAATGGCTGTTTTTTTTATGCAACTTAGAATGGCAAACAAGTTGACGGCCCACCTGATGGAGAGTGGTAACCGTCGCCTATAGACATGAAACTGTTCATGTCTATAGGCGACTGACCATGAACATAACAGAGTATACTGTTTTGCCCATGATACCTCCCATGCGTTGCCATTCCTGCGGACTTAGGTGTTATTCCTCTGTACCCTATAAATTCACTGGTATACTCTACCCTTCAAACCGAAACACAGCCATGCAAACACAACTGCTTCATGGTAGACACACGAATAGGACAGAGGTACCCAAGCAAACGACTTTTGTACAAAGTTTTTCTCTGATAAAGTATATAGTTCCGTATAGTTCCGACTGGTATATAAAGCTTTGTCTGTGTAATTTATTGTAACACAACGTAAGCAACAAGTACATTTATTAATGAAAATTAAATATTTATTGCTCTAAAAATAATCTATTCTCGTATAAAAAGTATAAAAAATGAAGTAACCACATTTGGAAAAGGATGTTAAGAACTTTGGCAAACTGTCTTCTAGTTCTCGTATCTTTATCCTACAGTTTCTATATTTTTGTAAGTTATCTGTAATATATAATGATAACAATAATGAATAAATATAATAATAAAAATGAAAAATACACGAATATAATAAAGGATCTACGACTTTTATGTTTAGACCACGCTACCTAGGTATTTACCATCAGGTGAGATCTGATTATGTTGGTTGGCTTCAGTAAAAATAGTATTCGAAGAACCTATAATAAAATTGATTATAGATATGTATATAACTATTATTCTACGTCATTACTATTTAATATAAACACGTTAATGTCAGTAATTATATTATTATTGCTCGACAGAACACACATTATGTACATACTTAATTACAAATAATGTTTTATTTGAAATAAATATATCCGTTTTATATTTCAAAGTTCTTCTTTCACTGATTATCTACAGAACCATCTGTTAGTTTTTTCAGAACGTTCTACTCTTGGCATCAGAGTCTCTAATAAAATAGGTAGTGAGAAGAAAGCATAAATTGGAGGTTAAGTGTTGTAAAATTGATGTGATAGATGGCGTTAGTAGAACTTTACTTACACTAAAAATTTTAGTAATGAAACTGGTATAATTTATTCGAGTAACAGGTATGAAATAATGTCTATCACGAATAAAATAAAATAAAATATTCTTGCCCATCCCTCCACCATAAGCTCCCTTAGTCACCTCTTACGACACCCACGGGAAAAAATACGCGGGTCATTCTATGCTGGGACCAAAATGCAATTATTTTAGGATCGGCATTATAAGATATAAAAGTAACGTCTTATTATTTTGGTAATTCTGTAATTTACTATAAAAGCTCATATAAACTAAATCATACACACCCATCAGTATAATCTATTTACGGTTGTTGTTGTATCAGCCTTTAATTGCCCACTGCTGAATACAGCCTTCCCCATAAGGGGGCTTTGCCATTAATTGCCACGCTTGGCAGGCGGGTTGGCAAACGCAGTTTGGCTTTTGACGCTGCTGCCCATTCCTCTACCATAAGCTTCCTTAATCGTCTCTAACAACACCCACAGGAAAGGAGGGAGTGACCTATTCTACACAGGCGCCTATACAGCTAATACACGTACAGCTTATTATTTACTTTAATAATACTAAAATTCTTTGATATTGAAATAAAATAAAATGTACAATTCCACTACTTCCGATAATCATCTATACATTAAACAATCGAGAACATTGCCCTTATCCTATTCCCTTTAGATTACAATCACAATAGCTCATCTAATTAACGATGATTGCCTGACAATAATTATACAAGATATTCTCTTATAGTGTTACTACTTCTTGTTCAACTTCAGTGCAACATTACTATTCTTGCTGTAAATATGAAATCATTATTTGTGATAATAATTCTTACATTAACAAAATGCCAATTGACGATACAAATGAGAGAAGAATCAACAACAGGATTAGCAATACAAATAAAAGATATGCCATCTAAAGTTCAAGGAATACAGAAGAATTACGATCGAATTACACCGAAAATTCCTATAGAAGAAAACAGAGAGAGTCGAATCTATTTAGAAGATGTTTTGTTCGCTCTGAAAAATCAGAACTGGACAGCTGACGAAGAGCCGTGTTTAAATCAAACTCTAGTTTTAATTGAAAGCTTACAGAATTTTACTTTGTGGGCTGTATTTAGTAAGTAAATGTGTTTAGTTCTTATGTACGTGCTATGATCTACCTAAATAATACAAATTGTTTACGAATAATTTCTTGTTAGATTGGGATTCTATATCATCTCAACCACTCGGACTTTTGTATGGAAATCGATATCAACTTGGCAATTTCGACGAATGCTTAAAAACGCCTTGGTCTAACATTCATCCTGAATTAACAACTCAATACTGTTTATCCGAAATAGTATTAGAGAGAACGGATCATTTTGTGAAGAAGAGGAATAAAACCCACGATTGGAGATATCACCCTTACGGATCTGTTCTAGACTATTTACAGGTATGTAACTAGTTTTTGTCTTGTATCATTACGCAATTATCATTAATAATGTTCATACTGAAGTTTGAGAATAGAATAAAAATCATTGTATTTGAACGATTAATAAATATAATACTTAAATTATATAATTAAACAATTATTGTATACAAATCAAATACTAAAAATATTGCAACAAGCATTTTAATTTATTTTTCTTTTGCATTCTCCAAATATGTGCTTCTTTACTAATTAAAATTAATATTTCATAAAAAATGTAATGAATAATTAACAATCATTTTTTAAAAGATTACTTATCAAATATTTATTTAGAAATCTTGAAAATGTTCTAATAGTATGTGAGACAGTTTACGTTTGCTTAATAATTATTTGAATTAAAATAAAAAAAAATCGCACTTTGCCAGTATATATTCTACTATTAATAATTTTGTTGAGAGTAGCGTGGAAAAATTAATATATGAATGTATTTAGCTATAAAGCTAACAAATATAAATCTGTTACAATAATTTTATTTTAAAAGGACCGTACTGATAATCTTTAAATATATATACGCTTAGTAAACTCTACTATTAAATTAGTAAGTAATTTAAGTCGTAATTTTTAAACAGAATTATCTCCCATGTTACATGTAAAACATATTACATACATACGTACTTACCAAATACGAAGTAATGTTATTTATCCCCCTTTATCATCCCTCACTGGTACTCCGCTAAACATTGTTTTTTCAGTATGATCTTTTATTGTAATTTATTGTATTTATAATAAGTTTACTACTACAATATTTTGGAGGAAACTATAAAGTGTCTATCTGTCTATATAAACCTTAATGGTACAGGCATCATTACATTTTCATGTTATATATATATATATATATATATATATATATATATATATATATATATATATATATATATATATATATATATATATATATATTATACAACATAGAATGGCAATCAAGCTGACGGTCCACCTGATGGAAAGTGGTATATATATATATATATATATACAATGTATTATTAACAAATAGATTTTAATGGAAATGTAATCAAGTACGGACTAAATGAAAGTAGTTAGAAATCGAAACGTTTAATCATATGATTGATTTTTTATTTGTACTTGTATTGGACATTAGCAGACACTTATAGTCGGGTTAATCATTGGTTTGTACTTAATTGATTTATAATATTCTGATGATGGTATTATTATTAAGTTCTATTAAAACAGATTAATACTATAGTATTAATTTACATACATCCAGTATCGACCTCCCCATACACGTGCTATCAACGAATTGACATGGGGTGTGTGCGTTCCCGCGAATTGTGGACCGCGATCTGTGGAGCGTCTACTAGCGACCATGCTGGCTCGCAGTCATCTAGGAGTAGCTGGCATTCGACCTCGTATTGCAGTGGACAGCCCATGCCAGAAGATGAGCGATTCGAGAGAGTACGATGCGCTTTTCTTCGCATTTTTGTTAGTATAATTGTTTAACCCTTATTTTATTTACAAAAGGCTGTAACATCAAATGTAATACTAATTTACTAATTTTAATTAAAGGTGAGCATTTAATATAAAATTATACTTGTTAGTCACCAGTAGATTACAGTAGTAGATAGAAGCGTGGCAACTACTGGCAAACTCCTGAAATATAAAAGCAATCTAGCCTTTCTTGCCCCATACAGACATTTATCTACTTAGTTACCTACTCTTACTCGATAATATACAATCAGAAGCTCAAAATTATATTCGATAGATTATAAATATACTTGTTATTTTTTCAGTGGCATCCTTCTACTTTTAACAACAGTATGCATTGTATCAACGATTCTGAACATTCGAAGGAAGGAACACTCTACCAGTAAGACTATGTACTAATAATAAATGTTTTAGCAAAATAATTATATTTTATAATTTTAAACTTTGTTATTAATAATTATAATATTTTTTTCAGTGGACCGTATCATAAAGATATTTTGTTTAAAAGAAAACGCATCGAATCTTTTAATAGCCAAAGAGGAAGGCACTGAAGTTCTCTATGGAATTAGATTTTTTACTATTTGCTTTATAGTCATGGATCATCAAATTGGAATAATAAACGCAGGCCCAATTAGCAATGGTCTGGAAGTTGATCATGTAAGTTATAAAGACTAAATTGACAAACGCCCAATCTGTGTTATTATTCCTGAGTTTAGAGTGATTAGACATTATCTGCATACCCAGTAATTTCTATGCTGGGTATTAAACACGCCTATAAGAACGATCAATAGTCCAAAGCATTTTTCGAACGATTACTTGTCTTTTAGGGAGGCATTTCTTTGTCGATCCGTTGAATGATTTGAAGCATAAGATAGTAGATAATATAGCTAGCACTAATATGGCGCTGGTCGATCTTAAGTCACCGATTTTCCGTTGCTGTAGATCGGCGATATGCTAATACATTAAAAGTGCCACTACCTTATTGTAAATTGTGCTATTAGTATATATTAAATCAACAATACAAATATTGTTTATATTGTTTACTTTCTTCTTAAGGATGTTCTATCAGTTAAAGGCATGTTCGTGATACACGACGACTTATTTGTGGACACCTACTTCTTCCTGTCCGGATTTCTTTTAGCAACTGCTATTACAAAATATAAAAGACTGCCCAATGTCTTTATTCTTATTTTGAAGAGATATATTAGGTAAGTATAGATCTTATTTATTTATTTTATTTATTTATTTAAGACAAACAGACAAGTACTAAATCTGACTTGAAGATAGCTAGGTTTTAGGTTATTTGAAATGTTAACGACCTTTTACATTATTTCTTTTTAGGTTATCAGTTGGGTTTGCAGTTGTTATATTTTATCTATGCGCTGTATATCCATACACGGGATCTGGTCCTCTATGGAACCGAATCATTGCCGGGGAGACAGAGAATTGCCGCCAAAATTGGTGGCTCAATCTCCTAATGCTCAACAATTACATTGATAGTGAACATATAGTAAGTACATATCTAACTACTATTGGCAAATGAAATAACGATAGTTTGTAAGCAAGTCTATTTTATGTTTTAAATAGCAGGATGCAGTAATAAAACGTATATATATTTGTGATATAAAATAATAAGTTTAGTGAAAAAATACAAGACATGTCTTATAAAAATCTGACATAGAACCAATTTATTATTATAATACATTGTTCTAAAAAACCTCAGTGTCAACAGCCAGTATTAAAACTCCAACATTTTAATAAAGGCAATTTGAATTTGACAAAAAAAAAAAAAACAATATTCACAATCTACAAATGGATAATTTGATAATAATTTTAGTGGAGAGAATTAATTATATTAATATAAATAATGACAGTAAATTTATATTAATGTGTAGGTAATTAGATTAAGTATCTATAAATAAAAAAAACTAAATAAAATAGTAAATTGCGATTATTTAGAAGTTATAAAAATTAGGTTATTTCTTGAAATATTCTCATATATTTTTTTTTTTTTTTACCCCGGTCACTGAACATGTCCCGGTCACACGGACAAAATCGAGGGTAAAAACTAGTCAGGTTATAAATTAATCAATTTGTTTGCAGTGCCTAGTAATTTCTTGGTACATTCCATGCGATTTCCACTTCTTCGTCGTCACCATATTGGTCTACTGGATATACAAGAATTCTCCTCGACTGGGTCTCACTTGTGCGGGAGTATTGGCCATAGCTTCCATTGTCGTCCCAGCCATATTAAACTACCTCAACAAATTGCCGCCTGTCCAGTTATTTACTTATGAGTAAGTATATTTAGAACCTATGTAGTCCCAGCATAGAATAGGCCACCTCTTCCTTTTCCGTGGATGTCGTAAGAGGCGACTAAGAGAACTTAACGGTCGGGTAACTTAAGAGATGCCCAGCAGCGTCCCTTTTAAAATGTCTCCAAGGCTTAATTGCGGTTGCCAGCCCGCCTGCCAAGCGTGGTTACCACTGGCAAACTCCCCAATAGAGGAAGGCCTATGTTTAGCAGTGGACAATTAATACCTATGGTAAGTATAATTAAATACAATTTATATTTACGACTATATACATTTTACTTTGTATTAATTAATCAATTTTAATTATTTTGCTTATAAATTTGGTATAATTATAATAAAATAAGTCTAGTTGCGAGAACTAAGTTGTATAGAACTAAAGGTCTGTTTCAATTATTCTGAAATTTCTGTGTAGAACTACAATAAAGAACATATATACCTTGTGACTTTTATCGTTGTTATTTAGCCTTAAGAAATTAACCAACATGGAAAAAGAATAAGTTATAGTTTTTCTTTTTATTTAAATTCCCTAATTTTTTTATTATTAGTTTATAACTTCCATGTAACGAAATTTGTTTCATGTCCTATCGAAATAAATTTATTTAACGATTCCCTTCTATAATTTGCTATGTTAAAATTGTGTACCTATTTATTGATGCTAGGTAGATTGCATGATAGATAGTACTACTAGACTGTATAATGCAATGAAGAACTGCGTCAAATATACAATTATTACGACATAAGAACACGCTGTTGAATCATTACTTACCATGGAAATCTATAAAATGATTCTGTATATCTCCTACATACCTACCACGCCTTGCATAATTTCCTTGTAATTGTTTCGTCCATCCATTGTTTACTAGTTTGCTATCATTATATACATGATTTATTATGTTTTTATTTACATTGACCGACCTGATGACATAGTTAAATGGTTACAGGTTTTATTTGTACTATCAAAATTTTATGCATGACAAGGTAAGGAGTTGTTAACTTTTTGCGCAAAGTGGGTAAATTGGATTTTTTTTATTTCACTCTTATGCAATTTGGAATTAAAAATAAGCTGATTATCTAACTAATAAAAAATTGGTTATATTCATCTATAGGTATGAATCATTGTGCTCATGATACCCCTCACATGTTTTTCAAATAAGTCAATCCTGGTTATTTTTTATATAAAAATAAATATATAATATTGACTTATAAAACTAATGTAAACTTAAGAAAATAATGTCTTTTTCTAATTACAGTTTTGTGGCAGACCCCCGTGCTAGTGAACAATTCCATGTTACATACATCAAAAGCCATGCAAGGTATGCAGCTTACGTGGTTGGCTTCGCTAGTGGACTTATCTTTTTCCATTATGGGCCTGCTGGAAACATTAAGATCAAGGTTCGCATTTAATTGATATCCCCAATCGCTGGATTTTTTATAAAATAAGATACAACTCATATTTGTAGTTGATAATACAGTTTTCTATAGATGATAAATTGCCGTGTGGCCTCGGCTGTGGGTGTCGTGAGAAGCGACTAAGGGAACTTAACGATCTAGGGATAGACAGTAGCGTCCACCTTAAAACATCTCCAAAGCCTAACTGCGATTGCCAATCTGCCTGTCAAGTGTGGCAACTACTGGCAAAATCTCCCAAATGGAAAAGCCTATGTTCAGTAGTGGACAATAGACGGCTGATATGATGATGATGATGCGAGATGCAAAAATTTTGCAAATCGGTTAAATATTTTTAAGTAAATATAAACATAAAAATCAAACCTTTTCATTTTATAATATTAGTATAGAAAGCAAATAAATGTGTATACAACTACATATAACTTCTAAATGAGGCAGTAGAGGTAGACACATTTGTTGGGAATTATTAAAATTCAATGTACTAGAGGGCGAGATTAGTATCGCCATTTGGATTGATTTCTATCGTTAAATACTACAATACTTTTTTTTAAAGTTGGTAAATTTTAAGTATTTAAATCCGTTTAGTCTATTTTACACAAATATACTAAACGGAGGATACTCCGTTTAGTATATTTGTGTAAAATCTCCGTTTACACAAATAAACTCTTAATAAAACTGCAATAAAAATAACGGATGATTTTTTTATACCACTCAAAATTACAAGCTAAGGGCCCATTTGAATATCAGGTATTATTCTGATAGTCACAATTTTAAATGTTATGTCTACTCCTATATGCCTCAATACTCAATTACTAATAAATTCGGTTTAAATAATATATTTTCTCATAAAAATTGTTGTTAACTTAAAATGAGATTCAAATACAAATTAACAAATTATTGTGTTCACCCCTAAAGCTAAAGTTATTTACAGATTTTTACGTTTATTATATGTATAACAAAATTAATATACATGTATGTTTTTTTTGACATACATTCATAAAACATTTGGCAGTTTATTTTAAAGCATTCCTTATCCTTTATATAATGTCATTTTTTTTTCACTTTCATTTCACTATAATATTCTTTATATTAAATTAAAATACAGCTGTGAAAACATAGTTATTGAGCGGCGGAATAAATCCTATCAATAATAAAAAAAAAACTGTTCAGAATTAGCGATTATATCCTATAACATACACTAAAACATAGCTATGAATTAGAACCGCCTCTTTTTAAAGTTGTTTAAAAACACATTTCCAGAAATGGTCAGTGCTTGGTGCGTGTGTGGCAATGATGGTGATGTTGATCGTAATGATCAATGGTGCCACATTCCTCTGGCGTGAATACAACCTAATAGAAGGAATTCTGTATGCAGCTTTCAACAGGCCAATATGGGCTTGTGGTGTCGCATTACTTGTGTTTTGCTGTAGCTGGGGACATGTCCGTGAGTATAAAGGTTTTATATGTGCTACTAAGAATGGCAAATGACAGACTAATCACCCGTTTGAGGAAGAAAGGGATTATTTGTAATGAGGTGTAATGGCCCCATTGCAATGCACCTTATCAGGTCGACCTCTACGCGGTTCCCCCTGGAAATTATTGTAATTAAGACTTGCTAAATTTATCGCAATGGACTGAATGACCTGTTTTCATCCGCACCTATCATCTCTCACTGGTGCCCCGCCAGTGTATACCGATAGCACAGGTGGGATTACTAGGCCATTTTCACCTACAAAAAATATCACCCGTTTATAATCTTGTATCTTTTGTGCCACCCAAATTCTCTAGAAAATAAAAATAAAAAACTTGTTAAATTGAGACTTCTGTCAGGTTATTTTTAAACCGACGACCGCTGAAGAAGACTTATGGATGAAATCGAAACAAATGTGAAAAACTATAAAAACACTGAGTTCAATAATTTCCCATTATATATGTATATAGACAAGAGGCAGGTTAAGCACACATTTACGTATATAAGTTTTGCTTTTTTCAGCGGTTGTGAAACAATTTCTGACGTGGTCTCCGTGGGTGCCCCTCAGCCGGCTCACTTACGGCGTATACCTGACGCACACGATATTCATCACTAGGAATGTGTTCGTAGCCAGGAGTCCTCGCCATTTCGATGCATTGGATACGGTAAGTGTACCTAGTATTATTGAACTTGATAGATGGGGACAAATGGTTCCATTATCTAAATACCTTATCATATTGACTTTCACGCGAAATATGCGCCTGTGATTATGATAATTTTTAAAATAACTTAACCGCGAAATATGCGCCTGTGATTATGATAATTAAAAAAAAAAAGAAACCACTGAACTGATTTTGATAAAATTTGTATGGGCCCAATCTGTAAGTGTATTTATTCTTTTAGATACAACAATTTTCAATGAGTTATAAGGTAATAAACATGAAAATAGAACCAAATTGAGAAATAAACTCTTTAATTTTTTATATTTATCACGTGCCTATTACCCAGTAGAGATTCTAGTGTATTATGATCTATAATGCAAATATTGTTACATAATTATGCTTATATGATTAAATGGATAAATCAGAACACCTCGTTAGCTGTCGTCTCCTTGGTTTTTAGACTCTCAATTCTTTTTTTCAGTTGAACTCTGCAGCTGGAACTATATTTTGGAGTTGCGTGAGTTCTTTTCTCATCTGGTTGCTGGCAGAAGCACCCGCAAACAATTTGTTTCAACTATGGATTTCCAGCATGTAAGTCTATTATCGTGTATTTCTCATTCTCTCGTTAATTTTATAGGCGTGTAATGTATGGGCATTCATTATTTACTAAGGTTTCTCATTACGCTTAAAAATGTCATGTGTAATAAAGTTGTTCAAAATATAATTCCTCAATTTTGATGTTGACTTTCAAGGTAGCATAAATCAATATTGTTGTGAAATGTTACACTTTCTTTAGGTACTGTTTTATTTTTTAGGATAATCTAACATACTTTTGACTTTAATATATTCTTCATTGCACTCAGAAATACAGTAATAACATCAGTATTACAAATAATTTATTAAATGTGAAATTGTCTCTAAAAGAGACCTCTTTCTGTCAACCCAACATAGTGGAAGTCTTGAATAATGAAAACTTTGTCGGTATTTAAACTTATAAATGAATTATTAGTAATGGTTTTCATAATAGTGATTTGTAACCACCAAGAACTGTAGTGTGTCATCCAATTCTACACTCAATGTAATGTACAAAAACATATGAATACATTGAATTTTAATTTCAACGAAGTAGTGATCGTTTTTAAGACTCAGTTTTATTGAAGTTTGTAACAAAGGCATTAACTTTTGAGTGACTGACGTTACATATTCATTTAATTACTAGAAAAAATATATTTTAAAATCTAGACATTTCAATATTTTTGTTTGATTTCAGGAAAAAAGACGTATCGAAAAAAGAAGAGAAAAAGGTTCATGAGGACCCAAACACAATAACAACAATATCGAGTAGTAGTAATGACAATTTGCCATCAACAATATATTTTTCAAAAATATAATTAGGAATTATATATAAAAATATCCTTAAGTATCTGTTACTGTTTATTTACAATAAAAATGTGAAGCTATGTGTGTATTTTGAATATAAATATATAAGTTAGTTTGTATTTAGATAAACACATTCATGATTTCTTAGTAGAATCAACCATACTGTTTCCATTTTTTCCACTGGTAATTTTGCTATTTGATAGTTATTTATCGCCTCTATGTATTAATATGACGGAGAGAAATAAAACACACCTGGATCGGATCACTTCTATTTGTAGACAAGAGCAGTTACCCGCCAAATATAATTATTATAAAAATCTCGGTGTACCCACATACATCACAGTAATTAACGTTCCTTACTACTCAAAATTTGCTGGAAAAGAACTTTTACAGAGTTAAGCTCGCACATCTTTATTTAAATTAAATTATAACAATGTAATTTTTGTGTACAGTAAATAAATAAATATAAATAGGTAAAGTACCTACATTTTAAATAATGATGAGAGTACAGACAAACTAACACGTGATGAACAGTTGTGACCGTATAGAAATTGGTAGTGACGGGAACTAGCAGCCCCATTACTAGCAATCTTAGTTAGCAATATACCTAATATCAACCTGCACATAGTCCCTCCTGAAAACCATTATTAATAAGTTATTCATGATAATCTACAGATTTGGCTTCAAAATAAATAAATTAAGTATAATATTGCTATCATCCTTATAGAAATCGTTTAACGAATTATAGAAAATCAGAATTATAATTCGACAAATTATTTCCTCCTTTTTTATTTTCATTAGAAATACTTTTCACATAGTTCTATAATAGATCTCTATAAAATTAATTGCATTAAATTTTGTACAGTAGAGCCTGTTCAATACGAACAGAAATTCAAACTATTTTATAATTGTAAAATTTTTTTTTTTTTTGTTTTTCTTTTGTTTTATGGAATATGTCTTTTGTTATTCTCTATCACTTCATCAATATACATGCACGTCTATACTCGGCATTTTTATTTTTATTTTATTCTTCTGGTACAAGTTCCTGCATAATTGAGTTACAATAAAACCAGCGACCAGCAAGGAACTGAACAGAGCCATCTATGTACTATCATTAAACATTGTAAGTGTTGCCTTCCTGATAAAGTATTACTAGGTATATTAGATATAAAATTCTAAAACTTTCGTACAGATGGCGCCTAATTATTTAAGTAGTGTTTTTGTGTTTTAAAATTTTGCCGTATTCATTTATGTAATTTATTTGAGGCTGTGTTTTTTTTTTTAATGAGAAGTCTTTTTTAATGGGATGAAAATAAAATGATCCTACTTTTATTATCGTTATATACCGGCGAAATATCAGTAAAATGTAAATAAAATCAGGTAAATAGGTCCTTAATGTTCAACAGAAATTGACTACGATGATCTCCTGGGGGAGTAGTATGGAGGTTGACCTGAATTCTTAAGTTTTGCACAATGATTTAATGATAGACTCGTTTTGCATGTGTTCTCTATGTAATAGAGTATAATGTACTTACGCACTGGTGTTCTGAATTATGAGAGATAAGTACGGATAAAGTTAGGTCAGTTGTGACGAATTTATTAAGAATGGATCACAATAGTTTCTAATATGAACCGCGTTTAATTCGGTTTAACCAATGAAAATTGTAGCTTCTAATAACTGTCTACCTCGTTTAGAATTCCTATAAATAGACAAAGTAATAAAAATAACAATATCGACGCTGAAAAGGCAAAATGTATTAAGCGCCATCTAGTGAATTATATAGGATAATAAAAAACTAAACGAAAAGTGATAAAAGGTAGGTAGGTACGAGGTTTGTCCGGAAAGTACGTATAAAAGTTTTTTAAAAATTTTATTTTACAATTATTCAGGTAAATCAATTTTATCCCCTTCAAAGTACTCCCCCTGTGACATAATGCACTTGTGCCAACGCCGTTTCCACTGTGAGAAGGCTCCTTGAAAGTCCTCTGGTTGTAGGTTTCTCAGCTGCCCCGTCGTAGCTTTTTTTATCTCATTTATGTCCCCCAAATGCCGCCCCCGAAGTACCAATTTGGTTTTTGGGAACAAGAAGAAGTCACACGGGGCCAAATCCGGCGAATAGGGGGGTGTTCGGTCACCGTAATGGAATTTTTACTCAAAAACTCACGGACAACAAGAGAGGTGTGGGCAGGGGCATTGTCGTGGTGAAGAATCCAACGCCCCTCTCGCGCCAATTCTGGACGAACTCGTGCCACACGAGCTTTGAGGCGTCTGAGCACATCGACGTAGAATTTTCCATCAACTGTCTGGCCTGGAGGGACGAATTCTTGATGGACAATCCCCCGAACATCGAACTCTTTCTCGGCCCTCTCTGAATCTTTTTAGCCACTTGTGGACGGTTGGTTCCTTCACAGCATCATCCCCATAAACTGTTCTGAGATCGGCAAAAATTTCACGGCCATTCTTGCCGAGTTTCGAGAGAAACTTGATTACGACGCGCTGCTCTTCAACGGAAGCGGGCTCCATGCCGACGGGGTTTCGTTAAGAGGTAACTTCACAGATGGCGTGACAAGCCAGTTCGCACCGCACGGCGGTCAGACCAGAACTGAAGCATTGTTAGGGACATAAGGAAGGGGTCCTGCGCTTACCTGGCCTCCCCACTCCTCTTTCTCGCATTCCAGAACACTTTTATACGAACTTTCCGGACAGACCTCGTAGTGTAGTAAATATCTCATATGGTAATACTGTTATTATTAGGCATTGTAATTTTTGTTAGAAAACACTTAAAAGTTGTGAATTATAAACCAAATAAATGTCATAAGTTGGTCATTTCATGACTTAACTAAATCACAATCAACTTGCTTTGAATAATTTACTTATTAAATAGGTTTACCGTTCGACGCAGAAAAAAAATAACTGAATTCAATGATACAGGCATTCTTACTCATTAGCTGGATGCTTACGACTGTAATCTTTGATAAGGCATTTGTATAAATTTTCATTTTGTAATCAAAAATCTTCTATATGTGTATAATAAAAACGCTAGAAACATCTCAGCTGTGTTCCATTACAGGCAATAAATAAGTTGTAAAATAATTTAAGATTTTGTTCCTCAAAAAAAAAAAATGCTGACTTCAATCGTGGCAAAAAATGTAATTTTGTATTTAAAAACTAAACTACTGTATCGATTTTGATAATTTTTTTATAAGACAAATCTGAAATAAAAAAGATTTTTCTACATCAGTTTATAAATGGTGCAGTTATAATGTTATAATCATAAAAATGATAAATGTATTACATTTTCTTTTTTAACCGACTTCGAAAAGAAAGAGGTAATCAATTCGTTTCTTTATGTTTTGATATCGTTTGAAAATAAAAATAATAATTTAAAAAGTAAGGAAAAATTAAAATGTAATTTGTCGCCATATTGAAATTAAATATATTTCTTTATTGTATTTAATTTCATTATTGCGACTGATCATGAATTGTAGGGCAACCATGTTTTTATAACTTTCAAGACTAATTTTGTAAAGTTGATTTTTTAAAACCGAAAAAATACTTATTAAGGTAAGTACTCGATACCTAGCGATATTAGTAGCAGTAAAAGGAATAAATAATACATTCATATTCAAATCTTATTTCTTGACAAAAATTGTTCAGTTTAGTTTTACTTTACAATGAAAATATTTATTTAATATATTTTAATAAATTCGTTCTTAAAAAAGTTGTTTCTTAACTATCATTGCTTGATTTGTGGTTAGTTCTTTTAGGGTTTTTACTTAAAGTAACTTTCCGTTTAAGTATCTATGTAGTACAAAAAAATTTGTTGTTTTGCTAAAGCATTGTTTCCCATTTTATATATGAATAACACGCATCTATAGATACCTATGTTCGTACTCGTATTAAAATTGTGGTTATGTTGGTGTTGATTTCCGACATATTCACTAATATGACGCAGACTCGATAAGTCTTCATTAATAACATCCGCAATAGGTATTTATATCAATTACTTATTTTATGTGTAGAGATGTGACGATAGGTTTTCATCAAAACACCTTTGAGAATGATATAGCTAGGTATTATGAGTACTACTAGGCCCCATCTTGTTGTGGGTACCCATAGGTATACAAGTTTAAACACATATACTCTTATGTTTATGGATTAAAATCTGGATCCAGCTCCAGCGGAGCGCAACTGTGTTTGGCAACAGAAGCAGCCAACTCAACTCCGCGGGACTGGCAGTATATAATGACATAATTGAGGGGGGCCTCGCGAGGTGCGGGGGACGGTGGCGCGGGACGCATGCGCGGGTTTGACGGCCAAGGTCGAGGCCGCGCGATTCTGCCGCGCGCCGCCGCGACGGCTGGTCCCTCTCGCTCGCCCTCTGGAAACAACTGAGGGATAAATGCGCAGTTGACGTCGCGAGTGATCCTGTATCCTGAGTCCTGACCATCATACTAATAAGGAACAAGCACAGGTAACGCTAAAAATACTATAAGAATCATGAATAAATCGATCAAAACAATCTATTGTGTAATGTTTGTAATCATGTTTGTTATACATAGGTACATACAGCGAGCGGTAGCCTTGTTTTTACCGTGAAATATCTTCGCTTACAGAATCAATTTAATTTTTGGCTCACGAATAATATTGTATTAAAACATTACGTGGATAGGTGTAACTAGTTGTACCTAGTGAACAAGTTGCATGTACATAACTATGCTCATTACTCGCAAAATTGGTCCCTCACCTTGCGCACTTATTACTTACACGTCTCACGTCATCACGGACGCTAATCTTCCGTACAAACAATTTTGTTTGTGCTACTGGAATAGAAATCCGACAAACTATGCAGCATACTGAAACTACTGAGCAACCTTTTATAATAATTATGCAATTACAATATCGTATGAAACTTTATGAATGTATATAAACATAATGTTACAATTTATTGTACCATATGTCACAAAATTAAATATAATTTATCCACAAAGTTCGTAAATATATTGGCCCCGCAATAATTACGTCACGCAGTTTTGTTACTGGTCTATAAGTATAAGGAAAATTGTTTAATCAGATAGT